GCTGAAACTTTATATGGCTATATCTCCTTTGTTTTTTGACGAAATGTTAGGAATTTTAAAATATAGTCATTCATTTAGATACCCTTCAATACGATCAAGATAAAAATTTATGAAATCACGCGCATGCATGTGTGCTGCAATCTGATTGGCTGAAACTTCAAATGGCTATAACTCCTTTGTTTTTCAAAGAAACAGGATGGGATTTGGAACATAGATAAATGTAAGGGACTCCTAAAAGAAGGTGTAGTCATTATGCACGTACTTGCACGTGCGTGCACGTGAAATGAGTAAAATTAAAAATACACTCGAATGAGTGTATTTTTTAATACTTTTGGATGAAATGCTTTGATATTAAGTATATTAAAATTTTAGATATTGTAGACAAGATAATATGATCGTTACGCACATGAACACACACGCGTGCAATGCCTATTTTTTAAATATATTTTGTATATTTCTGGGAAGACTTTGATTAAGTCTAAATTCCATAAAGTATTTCTTATTTAATAGCGATTACAGGGAATATTAATATGGCACCAAAAGGGAGTTGGGGAGCGTTTGGGGAACATCTGTAACGGTCCCCGTTACAATTAGCACTAGTTATTATTATTATTCCTGGGAAAATTTTGTCCTTGAGTGATCTTGTAAACTACACATCCGACTAAGGTAAAATGTTTTTAGGGTCAATAGACATGTTATGTAGATTTGCCGAACAAAGGTCATTTTGCGCGCACGTGCTTGCAAGAGCGCGCACGTGCAACATGTAAAATGACCGATTTGATTGATATAGGAGTAACTTTTTTAATTTTTGATGAAATGCTTTGAAACTCATAATGTAAGGATATTTTAGTAATATAGACAATATGACATGGTCAAAATAGCAAAATCTCACGCGCATGCACGTGCGCTTTGCTCTGATTGGCTGAAACTAAAGTCTCAATATCTTTCTTGTTTTTTGAGGAGATCCTTTGAAATTTTGAACATAGCCATGCATTAGGATATCCTACAACATGATATATAGAAATTATCATGAAAACACGTGCATGCACGTGCGCTGCAACATGCATTCACATGTGCAAGTGTGCAGTGATAAAATTTGAATGAACATAGTACACTTTTGGGTAAACGTTAAAGTCTCAAATGCATAGAGTTTGTCTTATTTAATTACGCTTACAGGGAATATGACTATAAAAGGGAGTTGGGGAGCGTTTGGGGAACATCTGTAACGGTCCCCGTTACAATTAGCACTAGTTTACAGTAATATACAAATCATTAAGTACAAACTTAGCAAAAATCTAAAAATACATACATCAGAGTGTCCGTTGCTGCACACAATGTCCCAGTGAAGTTATATCCCAGTAATACCTCAATGATGCTTATACGACAATTATCTATGCATCGAATTGACAGGGTATTTATACAGTAATATAAATCTAGAATATTCTAGAAATTGTAAATACATGATATTTCTGGAAAGTTCTGGACATACACAAAGTTCAAGAATGTTCTAGAAAATTACCGAACATGTTGACCACTCTGGAATGTTCAAGAAACTTAATGTTACTAATAATATACATGATGAAACAATACACACCTCACAACAGCACCTTAACTGTACTGCGTAAAGGTTTTAAGTAAAAAAAAGTCATATACTACGACCAGCTTGGGCCATTCCAACTTTGCTTTCACATTGTTGTGATCTGAGGACATACATCGCATTTTAACCAAACGTTTTTCTGTTTTTCGTTATCAATTAAAAATAGAGAACACAAGGAAGGAAAAAAATTTGAAGAATACCCGAAAAACACAGGGAACTCGGACTTCATGTTTTTTAACAAAAATGGTCACGGTCGAGTAATAACACATTCGATTACAATTTTTTGGCCTTGATATGTTAGTATTGCAAAGGCAAAATTGTATGCAACTAGTACATTAAAATTAAGGTTTTGAACTTTTAGAAAAAATTTAAGTGGGGACCTACACATTTTGACAAGTATATATTACATATTTTTTCTTTAAAATCTAACGGAGGCAATTGTAGGCCATTAAGTTAAAAGGATAGTACAAGAATAACATCACATATTAATTTTGATTGAACATATTCAATTGTTTAACACAAAAGGATCAGAAACAAGTTCTTACAACTTACAGGTTCTTCCGCTGGAATGACATGTTATTTCCATAAAATCACGTTCATTAATTGTGAAACTTTATTCATATGTTACATGTACTTCCCCTTTATGCACGCCGATATGATATACAATATCTCGGATTTATCGTTGCTATATGGGGCAAAGTGAGGCCATCCATATCTCACGGTACAGAATCGGTATATTTTCACTAATTATGTGATAATAATACTGAACTAGGGTAAAAGAGAGCCCCCTATTTTTAGGTCACCTGAGTAAATTCAGGTGACCTATTGCTATCTGTTTTCGCCGTCGTCGTGCGTCGTGCGTAGTGCGTCGTGCGTCGTTCGTCGTGCGTTAACATTTGAACATTTTCAGCTTCTTTTCTGAAACTACTGAATCAATTTCAACCAATTTTGGCATATAGAATGTATGGGTGAAGGGGGACAAAAGTTGTGAATTTCATGGTCCCTGCCTCCCTTAAGCCTCTGGGGTGGGGCCAAAACCACTAAAATTAGTGCAATCTTTAAAAATCTTCTTCTTTACTCCTGGACATCAAGCAGTCAAACTGTTGGTATGATTGTAATCAGCATGTAGGCCTCTACCAAAATTGTGAAATTCATGGCCCTGGGGTCAGGGGTTCTAGTGCTAGGGCGGGGCTAAATGAGTATATAGTGAAAATGCATTATTTCTTTGAAAATTTTCTTCTCTACACCTGGGTATTAAATAAACCAACTAAGTACATAGTTATGATGAGCAAGAGTGCCTCTACCAAAATTGTGAATTTTATGGCCCCAGGGTCAGGGGTTCTTGTGTTAGGACGGGGCTCTATTGATTATATTTAGTGGAAACACATGATTTCTTTGAAAATCTTCTTCTCTGCCCCTGGGTATTAAATATACTAACTAATTGCATAGTTATGATAAGCAAGAGTGCCTCTACCATAATTGTGAATTTTATGTCCCCAGGGTCAAGGGTCCTGGTGTTGGGGGGGGGGGGCTCTATTGATTATATGGTGAAAATACATGATTTCTTTGAAAATCTTCTCCTCTGCTCCTAGGTATATAATAAACTTAATAAGTACATAGTCATGATGAACAAGAGTGCCTCTACAAAAAGTTTGAATTTTATGGCCCCAGGGTCAGGGGTTCTTGTGTTAGGGCGGGGCTCTATTGATTATATATAGTGAAAGCACATGATTTCTTTGAAAATCTTCTTCTCTGCCCCTGGGTATTAAATATACTAACTAAATGCATAGTTATGATAAGCAAGAGTGCCTCTACCATAATTGTTAATTTTTTGGCCCCAGGTTCAAGGGTCCTGGTGTTGGGGGGGGGGGCTCTATTGATTATATATTGAAAATACACGAATTCTTTGAAAATCTTCTTCCCTGCTCCTAGGTATTAACTAAACTAAATAAGTGCATAGTTATGATGAGCAAGAGTGCCTCAACCAAAATTGTGAATTTTATGGTCCCAGGGTCAGGGGTTCTGGTGTTAGGACGGGGCTCTATAGATTATATAGTAAAAATACATGAATTATTTGAAAATCTACTACTCTGCCTCAAGGTATTAAATTAACTGACTAAGTGCATAAATATGATGAGCAAGAGTGTTTTTACCAAAATTGTGAATTCTATGGTCCCAGGGTCAAGGATTCTGGTGTTGGGGGGGTCTATTAATTATATCCTCTTTTAAAACTATGAATTTTATGGCCCCAAGGTCATGGGTTCTGGTGTTAGGGGGCGGGGCTCTATTGATTATTTAGTGAAAATACATTAAATATTTGAAAATTTTCTTCTCTGTCTCTGGGTATAAAGCAGATGAACTACCTTTATTGTTTCTATCAGCAAGGGCCCTAATCTTGCAGACTTGAGTATTTCAATGCCCCAGGGTCAGGGGTGGGGTGGCGGCTCTACTTATATACTGAAAATGAATTTATTGTTTGAAATCTGCTCTTTTGTATTTATAAACCATTTATTTATTGATATTAAGGGTGCCTTTTTAAAATTTGTGCAATGTGTGGACCTTAAGGGTCAGGGGTTTAGGTCACAGTGTTAGGGACACTACTTATTAGTTGGAATGCATTTTTGTTCCCCTACCCTGCGTATTCAGTAACCAAGCTAAGCAACTGCTAAGTGTATTGTTATGATGATCAATGGTGCCTCTTTCAAAATTATGAATGTCATGTACCATCTGGCTTAAAACATTTATCAAATTCTATAACTGGAAAGTTGTTGCAGAATGCTCAGGTGACCTATAAGGCCCATGGGCCTCTTGTCATTCTAAAACTTAGTATGATATGAAATTGTTCCTGAAAATAATTAAGCACTTAATGTAATAATACCTAGGATTAGGTAAAGTTTTAAATAAAACAATGGAATTAATATTTTTTGTTATGCTCCTATGAAGATTAAGATTTCTTTCGTATTTTGTCTATTGTACAAATTGGAAAAAAAAATGTATGTTTTATTATCATAAAATATTCTACAATGAATCTCACAGGAAGGACCCGGGGTAGAGATATTTTTGAGAGGAGTGAGGAAAAGAGCAATGGACCTTCAGATAAGACACTAACGTTCTTTGACTTTGGAGGACAGTGTGCATACTACGCTTGTCATCAGATTTACCTCACAAGGAGAGCCTTTTACATTGTGGTTGTAGACGCCTCTAAAGACCTTAACCAGGTGGTAGATAAGGAGGTGTGTGACCAGACGGACACCGTGTTCTCTGGATGGACATACAAAGGTATAATCTTATTCTAATACTGTGCCATTAAAAAAAAATCAGTTAGACATTGGAAATTCTCAATTTTTGTTTAGGAGTCATTAACAATTTTAGACTGCAAGAATGTGAAAAACCATTTACGATAATTTTTCTGCATATTTCTTATGAATGAAATACGTAGGATTTCTTATTTCTGTCATACTAATGAATAAGGCTCATGTTTCAGAGTACTTTGTGTTTTGGTTGAAATCTATCCACACCTATTGTTCATCTGTAAAACAAAGAAGTGACGAACAAGTAGAAGTACTTATTGTAGCAACACACTGGGATAAATCATTATATAATGTAAGTATAAATTTAATTAATGAAAAAAAGCATATGTGATAATGCAATACTTAGAAAACATTATTGATCAATTAAGTCTTGCATAAACATGACATGTATTTAAATTAAAAGGTAATCTTTTATATTACTGATCTTGTAAAGTACATGCAGGATGATTTAAATTCTTTTTTATAGAACAAAGATTTTCTTTTGCAATCATTATACAATGAATTACCGAACGATTCTGACACGAACCAGTATATAAGAGAAGACAGATGTTTCTTAGCACGCTTTCCAGCCGCTCAACCCTTAGTTGATCTAGAGAAATGCATCATAAATATCACATTAAACGCAAGGTGGAGCGAGAAGATACCTCACGAATGGGTTTTCCTTAGTGATGAAATCAATGAAAAGAGCAAAAATCAACCGATATTATCATTTAATGACCTACATAGAAGGTTGCCGGTCCAAGAAGATGCCAAAACGGAAAATGCTGTTGACATGCTTCGATACTATCATGATGCCGGAAAATGTCTTTTCTTTAATGAGAAAGGTCTTCAAGAATCAGTAATCATAGACGTCCAGTGGTTCATAAACGCATTCAAAACCATCATTACAGACAAGTTACACGTGAAAGGGATACACGCAAGTAAAATAGACTGGAAGGAATATTACGAAACAGGAAATCTGAAAGATACACTTTTAGATGGAATCTGGGAACTAGAGGATAAGAATTCACAGGTGTTAGAAAAAAACGATGAAATTAAAAGAAATGGTGGACATTATTTGGATTACAAGACAACCTTGCTGAATTACATGATGAGGCTAGGATTGATAGCCGTCGGAAAGGAATGTCATTATGTGCCTTCTATGAACAAAAAGAAGTTTGACATCGCACAGAAAGAATTTATTCAAAACACAGAGTCAAAAACATCCGTTTTGGTGTTCCAATTTGACTTCCTGCCTTTTTTTTTATTTTATCGCCTTGTTGTGACATTAATGCAAGTAGAAGGATTGGAGGTCTTAAGAAGTAAAGGAACAAAATGTCTGTACAAAAACACAGCAATGTTTAACTGCAGTGGTCATTATCTGGTAGTTGCTGTTACATGTAACTCTATCCAGTTTCAAATTTTGCACTCTGAAGCTGACGGATGTTTGCAAAAAGAAATAACAGTAGCAATTAGACAATGCATTGACGAAATTTTGATGGATATCACAAATACGTTTCACAAACATCTTTCGTATACGACTGGATTTACTTGCCTTGAAAAAAACAATCAGATAATTGGTATAGAAATCGATGATAATTTTATTGAGGAGAAGAAGTTGAGGACAGGAACCTCAATGAATTGTCCTCTGCACCAGTTAGATGACCGCCATAAAATCAATCCTGATTATTTGACGGAGTTTTGGAAGTAACTAAAAATTTTTGAACATAAATCTGATGAATTGGTTATCTTGGATCCATTGCCTTCAACAATGGTAATTCATTGCAAAGAATGTTTTAACTACCGGAAAAATAGATGATTATCCATTTGGATTGATAAACCAACATGCCATTTCAAAATTTCAACGATGTATTTTATTATAAAACTAATGTTTGGGGGTGGTATAGGATTGTGATAACATGTAAACAATTCCAGTAAAAATAAATGTGTGAGAATTGTTTCGGATAATTTTAGAATTTTTTTTAAAGATCATGCTCATACATGTTCTTACGTAAGCTAAATAATGCAAATCAAAATAAATAAATAAAAACAAAATTATTAAATAAAGAAAAACGGAATTATTAAATAAAGAAAAAACAAATTAATGTATAAAGAAAAAACGAAATTTTTAAATAAAATAAAACCAAATAAATATATGAAGAAAAATGAAATTATTAAAGAAAAACGAAAATAGTAAATAAAGAAAAACGAAAATATTAAAAGAAAAATTTTCTTTATTTAATAAGTTTGTTTTTCTTTATATATTAATTTGGTTTTTCTTTATATAATAATTTTGTTTCTCTTTATATATTAATTTCGTTTTTCAAGTAGAAAACTGAAACAAAAATACGGAATTTACAGATGTGCATGGTAAGGGCCTGGACCCATAAATCACTAGCGCACGCGTGTGTTAGACCTGATATTGTTTGCCTTTGCACTCACCGACTCACATATCGAATACACAACCATTACAATACATGATTTGGGGAAAATTTAATCTTTGGTATCTAATAGTAATATGCTTAGATTTGTGTTTTTATCATGCATTAACATGATTAAGGTGAATTTTAACCAGTCTGATAAATTGGCCAGTAATTCGGTGAGAAGTTGACATTAACAATTGGTTTAATAACATTAGCTTTCTTAAGGTAGCTAAGGACACCTGACCCCAAAAAACCTGTCAATAGATTTTGTTGAAATTTTCACAAGGTGTAAAGGGATGTGTAATGAACACTTAGTCGAAATATGAACATGGCATTGTGGGTAAATTACGGAACCAGGGGGTAATGAGTTACCTCCCCTTTCCAGTCACTCCAAAAATCATAATACAAGATAATTATTACCCATAAAGAATTTATTGGGCAATATGCATTCAATATTAAAAAATATTTTTAAACAATATTGATACTATTAACTTATTTAAACAATGGATTGTCTGAATATATATAAATTAAGAGAATAATCCATGTAGAACATTTGAAATTTGACCAATTTGGCCATTTTCATGCACACAAATTTGACACTTTTTAAATTCTAAAAAAAAATCTGTCCAATAGAATTTTCATTTTTTATCATTATATGAAAGATCTGTCTAATACTATTCTTCACTCAGAAAATCTTGGTCACATTGAGGGCTAATAAAGGTACCAGATGATCCACAACTACCCCCCCCCCTCTTTTGGTTTCCCATCCTAAAGGTAAGAATAATGATTAAAGTGGCTATTCAAATAAATGCATAGCAAAGGGAAAAACAACTGAAGAAATAAATTAGAAGTAAAAATCAATTGCTAATAAATGACTAAAGAAAATATTTTTATGAAATAACAGTACATATAGAGTAATAACTTGGAAGAGTTTCCCCCCGACCCTCCTCTTGCAATAAAACATGAAATTAAACCAATATTGAAATTATCCATAAAAAGTTCCTCAACAAAATTAAAATATAATTTATATTTCAACAATAGATACTTGAACAAAAATGTAATTTAAACAAGAGGCCCATGGGCCACATTGCTCACCTGAGTAACTTGGGTGATGCAGATATTTTTTAAAGATTTGTTCTATATATTTCTATGTAAAACTTGGATTCTCTATTGTGGCCCCGCCCTACCCCCGGGGGTCATGATTTGAACAATTTAATATTTACACTACCCAAGGATGCTTCCACATAAGTTTCAGCTTTCCTGGCCCAGTGGTTCTTGAGAAGAAGATTTTTAAAGATTAGTTCTATATATTTCTATGTAAAAATTGGATTCCCTATTGTGGCGCCGCCCTACCCCCGGGGGTCATGATTTTAACAATTTAATATCTACACTACCCAAGGATACTTCCACATAAGTTTCAGCTTACCTGGCCCAGGGTACTTGAGAAGGAGATTTTTAAAGATTAGTTCTATATATTTCTATGTAATAATTGGATTCCCTATTGTGGCCCCGCCCTACCCCCGGGGGTCATGATTTTAACAATTCAATATCTACACTACCCCAGGATGCTTCCACTTAAGTTTCAGCTTTCCTGGCCCAGTGGTTCTTGAGAAGAAGATTTTTAAAGATTAGTTCTATATATTTCTATGTAAAACTTGGATTCCCTATTGTGGCCCCGCCCTACCCCCGGGGGTCATGATTTTAACAATTTATTATCTACACTACCCCAGGATGCTTCCACATAAGTTCCAGCTTTCCTGGCCTAGTGGTTCTTGAGAAGAAGATTTTTAAAGATTAGTTCTATATATTTCTATGGAAAACTTGGATTCCCTATTGTGGCCCCGTCCAACCCGTTTCGGTCATGATTTTAACAATTTAATATCTACACTACCCAAGGATGCTTCCATATAAGTTTCAGATTTCCAGGCCCAGTGGTTCTTGAGAAGAAGATTTTTAAATATTTCTTCTATATCTTTCTATGTGAAACTGGGATTTCCTATTGTGGTTCCGCCCTACCCCCGGGGGTCATGATTTTAACAATTTAATATTTTCACTACCCAAGGATGCTTTCATATAAGTTTCAGCTTTTCTGACCCAGTGGTTCTTGAGAAGAAGATTTTTTAATGACCCCACCCTATTTTTGTATTTTCTTGATTATTTCCCCTTGGAAGGGGTCTTGGCCCTTGATTTTAACAATTTAAATTCCCCTTCACCCAAGGATGCTTTGTACCAAGTTTGGTTAAAATTAACCCAGTGGTTCTTGAGAAGAAGTTGAAAATGTGAAAAGTTTACAGACGGACGGACGGACGACGGACAACGGGTGATCAGAAAAGCTCACTTGAGCTTTCAGCTCAGGTGAGCTAAAAAACACATTTAAATATTCTTCAACATGATCCCTTTTGATTACTTTCATGCAAACAAATTCTATGTTTTCTTATAGATTTCTAAAAAATATATTGTATGACAAAAATGTCCAATACTATTTCTCACTCAGAAATCTCGGCTGCATTAAGAGGCAATTAACTACATGTATTAAGTTACAGAATGGTCTAATACACCCCCTCCTTTTATGCATCTGATATTTTTTTCATTGCAATGTCAAAAATCCCCCTAATTATTAACATGTCAAATGTATTCTACTTAATTTGTCGAAAAATACATTTTGGTCATACAGAATAAAGAAATTCATCTGACAAAGCACTGCAAAATTCACAAATTTCTATTCCATAGAATAATAAGAATATCATTGAAAAAATATGATCAGTACTCTTTCAAATTGATCAAAAGTCATTTTATTCCATGAGCAGGTAGGATAATAACATTAAATAGGCCATTCCAAGTCTTTTTTCTGTTTGGCATCCAATCGCACCTTGGTTTTTGACACCTACATGTATCAGACATTCAAACAAAATCAGAACCCCTACACTTGATTATTTTTGTTGACATCTTTGAGTTCTGTCAATTTCTCAAATATGTACAATAAATATGTCATAGGTAGTGTACTTTAGGCATTTAAATTTATTATTTTGATTTTGCTGAAGAATAGATATTTCTGCCAGAAAAGCAGATTGATGAAATAAAATCCTCAGATTTAAACTATTATTATAACTATAGACATGATACACGTACATTCTGTGTTTTATTTTTTAGGCTATATTTTTATTTACAAATAGGTACATGTAGGTAGGTTTTTGATTGAAGGTTGGACGCTAAACAGAGAAAAAAAACATGAAATGGGCTTAGTCTAAAACCGTCCTTGACCTGAGACATAGAATTACATAAACTATACCTAAAAATTAAAAACAAAATGACAATGCTGCACTGGGACAAAACACTTGATGCAGGACATTTTATATAACAAGAGGCCCACGGGCCTTATAGGTCACCTGAGTATCAAGAAACAAGTCTTACAACTGAGTAAAACCATAATGTTGAAGGAAGAAATACATTGTATACACCTTTATCTCAGGCAAACTTGAATTACAATAGGGTTATGTAAACTACTTCCTTCATTTTCATGTAATTTTCATGTAATTCTGTACCATTATCATATGCCATCAATGGACAAATTTCAGATTTTTTCGCAGTACATTATTCATCGAAGTATCACATAATAATGAAATGTTCTTTGTTTTGCAACTTACAATGCATTTGCAGTG